TAGGAGCTGGGGATAAAGCAGTGGAAAAAACCCGACAGCACTTCTTGCTCTTGTGAGGCTGACATTCTAGGTGGGGAGACAGACGAGAAACAAGGAATCAAATAGAAACAAAAGATACTTCTAGATCACAATAAATGCTATGATGTGCTGAGGGGAGATGCCATTCAGATGGATCATTCAAGGAAAGCCACTTGGAGGAGGTGACAGCTATACTGGACCTAAAGAGAAAGGAGTCAGCCAGGTGAATATTTGGGGGAAGGGCATTCCAGGCAGAAGGACTAGCCAGTGCAAAGGCCCTGAGGTGGGGAAAAGCTTTGTGTAAGGCTGGGTGTGGTGAATGAGTGGGAGAGTTATTTATTCATTCACTTATTTAATTATTTTTTAAACCGTTCAATCAACAGAATACCAGACCATGAGAGTTCCCCACTCTCCATGCACACAACAGCTCACACACCAGGACACCAATGGGCAGATCCCCTTCTCAATTTTATTTTATTTATTTATTTAATTTAATTTTGGGGGGAGGTGAGTAAGATTGGCTCTGAGCCAACATCTGTTGCCAATCTTCCTCTTTTTGCTGGAGGAAGATTGTCCCTAAGCTAACATCTATGCCAATCTTTCTCCACTGGGCTGGTACCCCCCTCTCAATTTTAAAATTTGGTTCTGCCCAGTTTCCAGTACAAACCAAGTCCTGGCCAATGACAACGGAAGAGGCAAAGACTTAATAATCAGCTAGATCTACTCTAGAACCTGGGCAAGGTGCCTCCCTCTGAGCCTCAGTTTCCTCATCTATACAGTGGGTAGCAATATGTAACTTATTTCCAACTAGGATCCCACTGGGTCACCCCTCCTCCTGTAGGACTTGCTCTCCAGAAAAAAAGGAGCAACTTAAAACTGTCCCTGGTGTTTAAAGCTGTATCCAAGGGAGTAATTAGAAACTCTGGCACTTCAAAGCCTGGAATAGAAGTGCCTACCCCTTCCCATTTCTGCAACCTGGTGGATTCAAGATCTCAGGTGTCCTGCCTTTAGAGGAGGAGGAGAGGGAAGGAAGATAAAGGCAAGGGGTGATCCAGAGAGGGCAGGTTTCTTCCGTCTGCAAGACCAGTGGAAGAATTTCCCAATCATCAGAGGTGTAGTGTGGGGGCTTAGGGACAGGAGGAAATGAACGACCCTGGAGGTGTGGGGAGTAGGAGCTGGCTTTGCCCTTTAAGAATTCCCCCCGCAGCCGTGGAAGCCGGAGAAGGAGAGGATCTCAGGTTCCCTTCAATTCTTTCATTATCCTTCACCTCTCACTCCGCTCCCCACCCCACCCTGGCCAGGTCCCAGAGCGAGCACTAAGTCAAGGAAGGGCCTGTCTTATCACCTCCCCACCGCCACCCCAACAAAACCCTAGAAATCCAGTGTTCCCTGATCCCTTCAGCAGGATTTGTCCTGGAAAAGACCTTGCATCACACAACCTCTGAATCCCCAGGAGTACTAGCTGGAGCAGGCACAGACCTGGGGTAAAAGAACTGACTATGGGCAAGTTGCTTGACCTCCCTGGGCCTCAGTTTCCTCAGTCTTTAAGATGAGAAGATAAAAACGCTTTTACTTCACTGGGCAATGGTGAGAATTAAAGTAGATGATGTCTACAAAGTTCCTGGCTCCTTGTAGGTATCTACAAATGTTAGCTGCCGCTGCTGCTGTTATTATTGCTATTACTAGATGTCACTGGTCTGGAATCACCATCGATTATAAAATGCACCATTATTTTATGTATCACTAAGAAAGACACAAAAGTATGGCCAGTTAAATTATGACCCACCAGTGCTGTGAGATGCAGCTAGACTGCAGAGATGTCAAAATATTAAATGCTTCTGGAGCCCTGGCTGGCGATGTTTTCCTTAACCTGCGTTCTGGTCCGCATGTATGTTCACTGGTGAAAACTCAGTATACTGGTCACCCATGGTCTGTGGACTCTTCTGTATGTGTGGTACATTCCAATGCGAGTTTTTACATTAAAAGCAGGTCAAACTTGTGTGGCTTGGAATGGATAAAACCTTGTATTGGCCCCAGCACTGGGCAAGGCAGTATATACAGTTGACACTAAATTAATGCTGAATGAACAGACACAAGGCTGGGAGTGGAACACGATAATAACGGGGTAGCTTGTCACTTTTGAGGTCTCCTGAAAAGGTGCTAGTCCAGAAAGATTCATTTTCCAGATGAGTGAGAGATGCCCACCCAAGGTCACTCATCTGAGGTTTTACAGATGAAGACACTGCCTAAGGTCACACAATTTAGTGAATGCTGGAGCTGGGACTTGAACCCAGGTAGTGGGGCTCCAGAATCCATGCCTTTGCCCACTACTCTATACTGTTTGGAGAGGGCCAAAGGATGCTCCCCAACCCCCACAGACCCCTACATAGCTCCTCCAGACTCAGGCAGGAAGAGGCGATGCCTTAAACCATTCTTGTGGGTTGGAGAGGCCTCCTGAACTCCTTGGGAGCAGGAGTGTCCTGCTTGCCCGAGGAGACTGGGAGCACGTGAGGACCAGCATCTGACTCTGTTCTAGAAGGAATAAGGGAGGAAAGGGAATCCATGGTGCGACTCACAATGTTGACTGTTCCACTCATGGCAAGCAGGGGCTATTGGAACCTTCGACTGACCAGCCATTTCCCCGACCAGCTCACAGCTGGACTGGCAGACAGACAGAACAACTGTTTGATTAACTGTATACCCGTTTGGTTGACTACATAATTCAAGGACTGACAGGGAGAGGGGCAGTTTGAGGAACTGACAGTGCAGTTTCCTGATGCTGTGAGGTACTCAACGTCTAACTGAATCACAGCCCACTCAGGACTGGCTGGGGCTGGTGGTTCAACAGTGAAGGAGACAGGCAGCCTCCTGAGGGACTGACAAGGCTGGCTGACTGATGACGCATGGTGTTGCTGCCTGCCTGGGTGGCGGGATGTTGTGAATGGCTGACTATTGCTAGGAATCACACCTGGCCCGAGGGAGTGTGTGGATGTTATACTGCCCGCCGATGTGTACAGGAGGGCTATTCCGAGGGCATTTCGGGCTGACTGACGGACAGATCTGTGGCTGCCTGATAAGGAACTGTATCTGGTGACTGACTGTCCGCCCTGACCGAATCACTGCATGCTCAACAGAGTGTGTGGTCACGCAGATGCTAAGAATGGCTACCTGACCGACTGACAATATAATGAGGGGCAGACTGAAGGAGTCACGGGCCAGCTGACCAATTGAAAGATCAGTGTAGCTGCCTGACTCCATGGCTGTGTGTGGTTATAATCACAGCCACCTGATGGGGCCGAGAGGGTCAGAGGCTATTGATTGACTGACCAATGGTGGGCATGCCTCGCCTGAGAAGTGACAGACTCCTGACCCAGTGACAGGTGGCGTGGAGGCTGGATCATACCTTTAATTACTGTATCTATTTGCTCTGAGGGAATAACTGTCTGATCATGGTGCGAACCGAGTAACCTGGGCGAATTACAGAGTAACCAACTGACAGTGGATAGTGACTGCCTTGACAGGGCTACATTAGATGCTGACAATGACAGCCTGCCTGAGGGCATGGCTGGATACTGATGATTCCCCCAGGGGGATTCAGAGCTGGTCCCAGGGTAAGGTAGACAGACAGACCGGCTGCTTGACTGACTGACAGCGTGAAGGAGGGACCGTCGAAGGGAATGACAGGCTGGCTGACCAGCAGTGTAGCTGTTAGTAAGCGCCACTTGTCTGCCTGGAGGGACTCGCAGCTGGCCCGAGGGCACGAATGGATGCTGCCATTGACTGACAGGCAGTGTGAATGGGGGGCGGGGGTCTGACTAGACAGTCGTCGTGGTGACTGATCCATTGTCTGATTTGAATCGAGTGACTGAGCAGCTGTATGTGGCGACAGTCCACCTTGGGAGTCACGGGCTGCTTGGGGTTAAAATATGGTGACGGACTGACTGACGGTGGTAATTGGGGGTCTGACCCCCCGTCAGGCCAGCTGACAACATGATTGGCTGACAGCGTGACAGACAGACCGGCGTCCCGACAGGGCCACCGGCAACCTCAGCCGCCGCCGCCGCCCAGACGCACTCTGGGAAAGCGCCGGCGAGCACCCGCCTTCGGGACCGAGCGCGGAGGCGGGGAGGATTCCGGTCACGGCTCGCCGGTTGGTCCGCGCGGGCGCTGCTCGCGGCGCCGTGCGGCCAATAGGCTGCGCGTTCTCGGCCACGCCCGCGCGAGCTCTCTTCTCGCGAGGCTGGTTAGGCCCGAATGTCGTTAGCCGTGGGGAAAGATGGCGGAAAATTTAAAAGGTGAAGCAGTGGTGGCAGCGGCGCGGGCCCGCTGGCCGGGCCGGGTGGGCTGGAGGGGTGGCGTCGCAGGCTCGGGGCCCCGGCGTCCGAGGCCACGGGGCCGGGAGCCGGAAGCCCGGCGCCGAAAGGATGGGGCTCGGGGAGCGCGGGCCTGGCGCGCGGGGCTGGGCGGGGCGGAGGGGAGGGGGCGCGTGCCTCGGAACGCGGCGGGCGCGGGGCTAAGTGGGGCCGCGGGAGGGGGGCGCGCGCCTCAGATCGCGACAGGGCGGCGCGCGCACGCGCGGGGACTCGTCGGGGAGGCCGTGCCCGCGCGCGGGAAAATCGGCCGCTGGTGACCGTTACCCGTTTGGTGTCCACGCGAGACGCCGGAAGGGGAGGGAAGGGAAGGGGATGGACCTCCTTTACAGAGTGGGGGGACGGGGGACTCTTCACGGGGAGGGTATCTCCTCTCGGCGTCATGGGGGAAGGTTTGCAGCAGAGGGGACTCCTCCAGGAAGAAGGGAAGGGGCTTCCTGAGTAGGAGAGCCGGACTGCCCCATGTGCAGGGAGAGAGGGGTGACTCTCAGCATCGGGGGTGGCTCCTCTGGGTGAGGAAAGCTGCGAGGAGGACGGGTTCCATAAGTGCGAGGGGGACCTCTGAGGGTAGGAGAGTCCACCTGTGGTCAGTGCGGAGGCAGCAGCTGGAGGTGTGAGTTGGCACCACTTTAGTGGGGTTTCAAAGGCGAGTGAAGGGGTTTGAAAGGGGAGGAAAGCACGGGCACTGGCCGAGGCTCCCCTGGGCCTGCCTAAGTGGAGGGGGAAGTGCACACGAAATCATTCTGCAAAGCTCTTGTACATTTTTAGGTTGACATCTGGAGTATTTTGTCATGAGTTTAAACGTTTGATGTTTTGCAGTGGGAGGCAGAAAATATTAAACATTTAAAAAAGATGAGATAGGGTGAGGACTGACTGACTACATTTGGATTAAGTGCTTTGTGAAATGATTTGATAAAATGGCCTCTAAAGCATCTTAAGAATGGGCCTTGAATCAGAAAGAAGCCTTTAAAAAAAAAAATGTGTCTTGAAAAATTTTGGTAGCTCCAGAAACATTCCAGGTATATTTAAAATAATTGTTGTCACTAACCTATATTGTTTTGCCTGTTCCTGAATTCAGAGCATTACCCCTTAGGGTGAGCTTTACCTTTCACAGAAAAGAGGGTGAGACAGAGAAAGTCACAATGCGGGTTGCAGAAATATACCTTGTGGGTTTAAGGCACCCAGACTAATCATTCAAGGACGCTTTCTGTAATCTAATACCACTCCACAACCTCTTATTCATAATTCCAAAATCTAAAAATCCCTGAAAACTTACGTTGGGCACCATTCAGTGGCAAAGCTAAACTATAAAGTGGGACTATTCAGTGCCGCTATCTTACATCTTTATGTCTCCTATTTCCTGTGAAAATTCAGACTTCTGCTGCAGAAATATTCATGTGTTTGATTATGGCTTGACGCCCCTGACCACAGTAGGGGTGTTAGGAATGTATGGGATATACCTAGAACTACACTCATGAAATCAAAAAAAAAATTTGAATTCCTAAACACATCTGGCTCCAGGAGTTTCAGATAAGGGATTGCCAACCAGTCTTTCCGGTTACACCTTCGTTTGGTACCCTGGAGGTTTTAATCCCATCCCCATCCACTGCTTGGGGCAGTGCACCCTACTGCGATGGGGAGGGTGACCAGGGGAGAAGGATGACCAGGTCCTGAACCCAAGGCAAGTTGGCAGGCACTTTGTGGAATAGTACAGAGGGAGTCGGAAGCTCTGAGACTAGATTCCTTTAGGAAATCCATGCAGCATATCCCATTTTGAGGTCTGCCGCTCCAGGGGTAGCCTTGGACAATGAGCACTGGGGTTGAAGGAAGTGGCACAGCTTTGTTGTAGAAGGGTCTCAGCACTGGGAGGGCCTGTGGATTCAATCTCACTCCCTCTGAGGCAGTCTTTTGAAAATCCCAGGGAGGATTTGGGGTCCCCTTTGACTCCTGGCCTCGCCAGGATGCCCAGTAAGCGTTCTTTCCGGCCTCCTTGTTCTAGGCTGTAGTGTGTGTTGCAAGTCTTCTTGGAATCAGCTACAGGACCTGTGCCGCCTGGCCAAGCTCTCCTGCCCTGCCCTTGGCATCTCCAAGAGGAACCTCTATGACTTTGAAGTCGAGTACCTGTGCGATTATAAGAAGATCCGCGTGAGTCTGGGGTGACCATGGCCGGGGTGTGTCAAGGAAGCTGGCTTCCTGCCCCCTTGCCCCGCACTGCCTGCACCTGTTTCCAAAGGGGATTTTCTCCTCTGATCTTAAAAAAAAAAAAAAAAGGATTAGGAGGCCCTCTTATCATCCCCATTTTAGAGGTGGGGAAACTAAAGTGGCTTTCTGAGGGAGGCAGGAGCCAGAATGAATCCCCAAATGAGTCTCTCTTCCCACCTCCCTGGGAATACAAACCAATTGCAAAGATTGAGATGCTGGGCCCAGGAGTGGAGATGATGAGAGCTAAGGGGTTCGAGCACTTTTGGTATCCCAGGCACTTCCTCTCACACACTCATCTAATCCCCCTGTGAACACTGTGAAATGGGAACTCTTACTATTGCCAGAGGAGGTAATGGCAGGATGGTTAAGAGAACAGACTGGAGCCAGCATGCTTGGGTTCAGATCCTGCCGCGTGACCCCAGGATACTTACCCAAATTCTCTGACTTCATTTTCCTCATCTGTAAAATGGGGCTGATTAGTAGGATCCACCTCATATAGAGTTGGGAGGATTAAATTAGTTAATAATACATGTAAGTTGCTTAGAACAGTACCTGTACATAATGAATGCTAGAGAATGGTAGCTTTTTTACTTATTTACAGATGAGGAAACTGAAACCCAGCGAAGTTAAATAACTTGCCTAAGGCCACACAGCTAGGGAGTGGCAGATTCTGGATTCGAACCCAAGGTGTCTAACTAGAACCTGTGTAGTTAAACTTTAACCTGTAGCTGCCTCTCAGCAAGAAAAGATCCCTCTGGCTGCTGTGTGGGGAATAGACTGTAGGGACAAGGGCGGAAGCAGGGGGACCAGCGAGGAGGCTACTGCCACAGCCCCGGTGAGCAGTGACAGTGGTGGCAGTGGTGATGGTTTGAAGTGGTCGGATTCTGGATGTAGTCTGAAGGTGGGGCTGACAGGATTTGCTGAGGGTGGATGTGGGGAGTGTGAGAAAAAGAAGTCAAGGATGACTCCAAGAGTTGGGGCCTGAATAGCCAGAAGGAGGGAGCTGATGATGGGGAAGACAAGAGGAGGGAGCGGGTTTGGGAGACTAAATTAAAAGTTGAAATTTAGACAGATATAGTAAGGGGGAGAGTGGGATTTGAACTGAGTGATTCTCACTTTAGAGCCCGTGCTTTTTGACCCCTGCATGGAGTCATTCCAGAAAAGGGTGGGGGAGTGGTCTGGGTCTTATCCATCGGCTTTGGGATGGAAGTCCCACAGGACTGGCCCAAGGGTCTCGCCACTTATGGTGCTCCCATCCCCCTGGCCCCCCAACAGGAACAGGAGTATTACCTGGTAAAATGGCGTGGCTACCCAGACTCAGAGAGCACCTGGGAGCCACGGCAGAACCTCAAGTGTGTGCGCATCCTCAAGCAGTTCCACAAGGACTTAGAAAGGGAGCTGCTCCGGCGGCACCACCGGTCAAAGCCGCCCCGGCACCTGGACCCAAGCTTGGCCAACTACCTGGTGCAGAAGGCCAAGCAGAGACGGGCGCTCCGGCGCTGGGAGCAGGAGCTCAATGCCAAGCGCAGCCATCTGGGACGCATCACCGTGGAGAACGAGGTGGACCTGGACGGCCCCCCGCGGGCCTTCGTGTACATCAACGAGTACCGTGTTGGTGAGGGCATCACCCTCAACCAGGTGGCCGTGGGCTGCGAGTGCCAGGACTGTCTGTGGGCACCCGCTGGAGGCTGCTGCCCCGGGGCGTCCCTGCACAAGTTTGCCTACAATGACCAGGGCCAGGTGCGGCTGCGGGCCGGGCTGCCCATCTACGAGTGCAACTCCCGCTGCCGCTGCGGCTATGACTGCCCCAATCGCGTGGTCCAGAAGGGCATCCGCTATGACCTCTGCATCTTCCGCACGGACGATGGACGCGGCTGGGGTGTCCGCACGCTGGAGAAGATCCGCAAGAACAGCTTCGTCATGGAGTACGTGGGAGAGGTAGGGAGATGGGACCGGGCGTGTGTGTGCGGCTCTTCCCACTTTGTGGCCCACTGTGTGCGCCCAGCTTTCCTCACTGTGTGTCTGCAGCTTCCCTGCTTTCCCTGTGGGAAAGGTCGGGGGGGTTAACCCGAGTGTGATAGGGACCTCCTGGCAGGGGTGAGTATTCCAAGCTGGTAGTTAAAAGCACATTGCAATACTTCCAGACTGGGTTGACTCCATAAGGGTACCTAGCAAAGCGGAAAGTGGGAACTGAAATCCAGGCAGCGTTCCTTTTAACAGGCCGTGTGGTCTGCACAGGGTTGCGTCACCTGAAAGGGCACTTCCTCTTCTCATTTCACAAGGGTCCAGCTTATCGCCAAGCAGTGGCTGCCCAGAAGGAGCACCTTTTACTAGTCTGCACCAAAGGAACATGAACAGTCTGGGGGAGGACGCAGACCTGCCTTGTGGAGGTTGCCTACCTCCTCCTCTGGACTGGCAGGGCACTGGGGAAGGGCTGGCTGTATTAGGCAGGCTAGCCGCCGTACTGAACAACCCCAAGTCTTAGTGGCTTCACACGTTAGAAGTCTGTGTGCTCCTGTCGCGGTCCAGCATGGGTGTCTGGGTGGTATCCTCCCCCACGGCAGCGTGGCCACCTAGGCTCTTTCCCTCTTGTGCCTGTGCCATGCTCAGAGCCTTGGAGCAGCCTCTGATCCACAGCATTGCCTGGCAGGCGGGCCGAGAGTCGGGTAGAAGGGGGGCGTTTCTAATGAGCCAGGCCTGGATGCGATGCCCATCATTTCTGCCCACCCCCACTGGCTGGAACTGAGTCACTAGTTTTACCTCAGTGCAAGGGAGGCTGGGAAGTGTGATTTAGCCGTGTGCCCAGGTGGAGAACAAAAGGGGTTTGCATATATTAATAACAAGTGTCTGCAACAGCACATGTCCCGTTCTAGGGTGGGACACAGTGGGCATTCGGGGTGGGGCAGTTCTTTGTGACATAGGACCAGCTCATGCATTGGGGGACATTTACCTTCCCTGGACCTTGACCATTTTAATCCATGAATGCGCCCTGTCATGGTAACACCTCAAAGACCATATTTCTATAGGTCTCTTAGGGGTTGATATGGTTGGGAAGTGACAGAGATTGGCCTAAGAGACACACACCTGAGCATGTCCACGCTGTAATAACAACACTGATGAAGAGGAAAGACTCCTGCTCTGACGAACTATAAAGTAGAGAGGGTCATAGCCCCGGGGGCAGAGCAGCCCACACGTTAGAGGACCTGACAGTCTGGACGAGGAGACATCCATACCCCAGAGCACCCTGACAGTCTGGTAGAGGAAACGTCCACATGTCAGAGGACCTGACAATCTAAGAGGCGGGGGGTCCTGACAATCTGCAGGAAGAGGTGTCCATGTCCCAGAGTGCCCTGGAGGAAGAGAGCGAGCCCTCCACACTCCAGGGCACCCTGGCGGTCTGACTTAGGAAGTATCCACACCCCACTGTCCCAACAGTCAGGAAAAAAGTGTCCTCACCCCAGAGGGATTGTGAAAGTCTGAAGGAGATCAGGTCTACACCCAAGGGGACTCTGACAGCCTGTAGAAAGTGTCCCCACCCGCAATGTCCTGACACTCTGGAGGAGGTGTCCAGACCTCAGAGAGATGCTAACAGTGTGTAGGAGATGCTAACATCCCAGGGGATGTCCCCAGTCTGGAGGAGAATGTGTGCACATTCCAGAGCCCCTGATGGTCTGGAGGAGGAGGTGTCCAGACCCCACAGGAGCCCAACAAACTGAGAGGAAGTCTGGAGCAGGCACTGTCTAGCCTCACTGTACTGCCGATCTTGAGGGAAAGCTGTCTGCAACCCAGAGGACCCTGACAGGCGAGGGGGCAGAGTGTGCGGCCCACAGGCTCTGCGGAGTCTCCTGGGCGGGCTACTTTTCTGGCTGCTCTTGCTCGGCGTCCTCACTCCTCCACGCTGTAAACATCCGGGTTTCCAGGGACTCCCTCACTCCCTGTCCTCACTCTTCCCACTCTCCACATGTCCTCTTCAGGCTATATCTTGGCTTCCCTCCTGTCACATTCAGTGACTTCCAGGTCCTGCTCCAACACCCTCAGACCTGTGGGGCCCCCAAACACTGCCAGAGCCAAACTCATCTCCCGGCATACCCCTGTGAGGAGGCAGCGTGGCAGAGGGTCAGCAGGGTGGACCCTGGAGCCTGCCTGCCCGAGCTTGAGTCCCAGCTCCACCACTCATCAGCAGTCACTCAACCTCTTTGTGTCTCAGTTTCCTGATCTGTAGAATGGGGATGATAATAGCACCCACCTCATACAGTTGGTGTGAGAACTAAATGAGTTCTTCTGTGTGAAGCACTTGAACAGTGTTCACTACACAGTAAGACTTCAATAATGTTAGCCCCTACAGTCCAAAATGCAGAAAATCCAGGATGCTCCGAAAACCGACTTTTTTGTAACCAATCTGGCTACAAAACCCAACCAGACCTGATAGCGGCCTCTTTAGTCTGTTCTCTCCCTTGGTGTAATATTTGTAAACTGTACTGCAGAAGTGTTCATTGTACTTGACTGTGTGGTGCTGTCCCAGACCCTGGCTGGCGTCACGTAATCGAGGGCCTACACCCCACGCCTGTTGGCCGCGCTGTCCATCTTCAGGCTGGACACGCACGCGCCCTCCACGCTCGCCGCCTCCGCGCTGCTGCTGCTCCACGTGAGCTGCCCTTCCTCTCCTTTGCACCGCTCCACGTCCAGCAGAACACGCCCCCATCGCCCCGGAGAGAACGAGAGCCTGTTTCATCCATTCTAAAACATGCCCTGTCTTCATATTTCAGCAACCCTGAAATGAAAGTGAGTCTCAGTTAATTTAATTCAATGGCGGCATGTCATCATTTAGTTAGCAATGTTTCCTTTCTTGGGAAAGGGCACATAAAATAAGGGAGCATCTTAGATTTCAACAAGCTATAGTACTCCTCCCAGCTCCTAACATTGCTCCATGTCCCAACGAAAACAAAACCAGAAACACCTTTCACAGCCCTGATCTCGCAGGATCTTTACAACAGCCCCTCTCAGGTTGGGATTATTGTCATTGTCATCCGCATTCTACAGATGAGAAAACCGAGGCCCAGGGGGTGTAGTAACATGCTCAGAGTCACCAAGCTAGTAAAGTGGATAAAAACGGCCCAAGTGTCTAAAGCTGGTGCACTGCCAGACCTGGTAGAGGGTTTTTTGGCTGAGGAAACAGGCGCAGGCAGAGAACGTTCAGGATTCCATAACCAGGAAGGGGCAGAGCAGCAGCCGGACTCCGGTCTTCTCGTTCCCGTTCGCGTCAACACCTTTTCCAGGCTGCCAGCTCAGAGCCCATCTGTGTCCCCAGCCATTGTGGGGGGCTGCTGGGGAGCAGGGACATGGACTGATTTGCTTCCGAGTTTTCAGGGTGGACCAACCCGTACAGAGTGGGACTGAAAAGAAGAGAGAGAAGGAACCATTTGTGCCCTGAAGGGCTTGCAGTGTGACTCACTCGTGGTGAGGCTCGGGGAGCAGGTAGGGGCAGAGCAGGCGCGCAGATGGAGCCTGGGAAGGATGTGGGGCATTTCCTCCAGGTTGGGGAGGGGCTAAAAGGAAAAAGCTGGCCCAGACACCACCCAGTGTGCTCCTGAGCCCAGCAGGGGCTGCCCTTTGATCCCAAGGCTTCATAGAGGCAGCAGCTTCTGCAGTGGGTGGGGATTGGAAGGTTCAGGAAGGCTGTACAGAGAAGTAACATCCGTTGGGAGTTGATGCCACGAGGAAGAGTCAGTGTTCTCCGGGAGCTGGAGGGAGACTGACCTTGACGTACTCCTCAAAACGCTTCTGTGGCTCCTGTTTTGTCCCTCAGAAGAGAGCCCCTCCTCTTCACCCTGGTGTCAAAGCCCTTTTATGATCTGCACCTTGCTTTAGATGGTGTCTCTCTTTTCCATTGCCCCTTGAACCCTAAGCACTGTGTTTCCTGATCAGCATCTTGCACTGTGGGTGTCTGAGTCCATCTCTCTGTCACCAGACTGTGACCCCTAACAACGGGGACCCAGCTTGGTCCATTTGTCTCCCCCAGCAGACTGTGACTCCTGAGCCCTGGGACCAGGCACAGGGTAGCCTCATAAAAATCCACTGAATGCATGAGTGGACAAACAAACCAAAATTGGGGGTGTGGGGGAGCCACGTTCCTCAAGGAATGGAGTGGAGTATGGGGCAGTGAGCAGTGTTGCCCGAGGGGTAGATCTTGGTCTTCTAAAGGCATAGTCGATCAGCATTTGGCACAGAGCAGAGGCTGGAGGTGATGGTGCAAGAGGCAGGGAGGAGACAGGACACTAGTGTGGCCATCCTGGCTAGAGAAAACGTGGGTCAGGACCAGAAGTGGGAAGAGCATGGTCACTAGTTGGCATGAGGGTGAGCAAGGAAGGAGGCCAGGGTGGGTCTTGGGTTTGCGTCCAGCGTCATCAGGGGGTGTGGTGGGCAGTGCTGTCTGACAAAGGGAGAGGGAAGGAAGAAGGGGTGTGAGGGGAGGAGAGCATTTGAGTTGCCTGCGGGACAGAGGACAGGGCTCTGGGTTGGAAAGCAGAATAAAAATAAAGGGCATTTATGGTGTGTGTGCTGTGCACAGTGCGGGCACCTGTCTCTGAGGGGTGGGCAGAAAACCAAGAGTGGAGAACGAGACCTGCCCTGGTCTGGAGGGACCCTAGGCTGAGGAACGGGCAGTCCTGGGCCCTGTGGGACCCTCACAGAGATGGGTGTGGTTGGCTACACTTGGGGATTACCAGAAGGCTGTGGTTGGCCCCAGGGGGAAGAAGGGGCATGAGGGACAGAGGGGAGAGATCTGTCGGGGAAGGGGTCGGGTGGAGAATCCATCACCAGCAGTTGGGAGGCAAGGACAGGTTGGGGCTAGGATGGTGGCGCAGCTTCCTGTTTACTAGGACAGCCAGGGACCCAGCGGGGGAAGAGGAGATGCCTCCTGCCATCTTAAATACCAGTTGGCGCTGCACAGCGGCAGGGCTGAGGGAGGGCTTCTCACTGGTGCTCAGCTCCTCTTCTTCATCTCTTTCATCTTCATCTTCCATCTCTCTGTTTTTGGCCTTAGCCCCTTTCTTGCGATCTCAAACTCTTGGGGGTCTTGCTCTTCTCTCTGGACCTGAGTCTTGCGTATTAAGATTCTGTTTGTGTTTCTAACTCTGCTCTTGGCTTTCTTGTCTGAGTCTCCTTCCCATTCATTCAGTCTCTCTCTCCCCATCTTCCCAGGGCCCTCTTTCTTCTCATCCTCCATGTCCTTCCTACTGTCTGCACGGCCTGCACTGGCTCACTTCTCTTGTGCTGGTTCCCGCAATGCCTCAGGCTCTCTTGCCCCAGATCAGTCAGCCTCTCTTTTCCCCCCCGACTCTGCCTGCCCCTCTCTGTTGAGCCCTGGGCCTTTTTCTTCCTTGCCCTTGATCTGGCTCGCCTCACTGTGTCTCACTGTGGGTCTCTTACATCGGGGGTCTGTGTGTGTCTGTCTCTCACTACTGCACCTTGTGGCCAGCCTCCACCCAGCATTGAGAGACTCCTCGTGCCATCCAGAGGCCTGAGGAGGGATGAGTGGCGGGCAGCTGAGGCCCAGCCCCCTGAGAAGGGCTGACAGCCCCTCCGTATCACTGCCTCCTGTGTGTCCGTGCCTGCCAGCCCCCTGAGCCACCCACAGTGGGTTGGGGTGCCTCCCTGCTCACTTTTTCTTCTCCCCTTTGGGGGCCAGGTTGGAGGTCAGGAGTTACACTGGCTTTCCTGAGCCTTGTTGGCCAATCTCCCTTCCCCCATGGCCCTCTCCCCAGATCATTACCTCAGAGGAGGCGGAGCGGCGGGGCCAGATCTACGACCGCCAGGGTGCCACCTACCTCTTCGACCTGGACTACGTGGAGGACGTGTACACCGTGGATGCCGCCTATTATGGCAACATCTCCCACTTTGTCAACCACAGTGTGGGTACCCCACAGGCGGGTGGGGAGTCGGGAGGAGCAGGCTGGGGCGCTTCCTCACCCTCCCGCTGTTCTTTTTTGCCCAGTGTGACCCCAACCTCCAGGTGTACAACGTCTTCATAGACAACCTTGATGAGCGACTGCCCCGCATCGCTTTCTTTGCCACAAGAACCATCCGGGCAGGCGAGGAGCTCACCTTTGATTACAACATGCAAGGTGGGGGTGGCAGGGGACCGGGGGCAGGGGCACACAGTGAGGTGGGACACAAGGACCCCTACCCAAGGAGCTTTAAGATGTTCTTCCTGACTCCCAGTCTCCCATCTGGACTCTTGGACCCCTGCCCACCCCTTGGTGGTCCCTTTATTCCCAACCCCTGGACCCCAATTCTGAGACACTCGTACCAACTTCTCCCAAGACTCCTGGGGGAGGACATTTGGCAGGAGAGTTAAGACACTCCTCCTGACTCCAATCTTGTCTGAGTTTCCCCAGTCCCCCAACCCTCCCTGCTCCTAACCCACTTTGGCCTTCCTCATTCCAAGCCTCTGGACACCCTTGTGGCCTCCAACCAGTCCCCTTCTTGACAAACTAGCCACCTCTGAGACACTTGAGGGGGGAATCTTTGGCAGCAGAGTTCAGATGCCCCTCTGGACGGCCAGGTGACCCTCCATTCCTGACCCCTGCCTGACATGACCCTCCTGGTTCCCCCTGACAGCCTCTTGCCTCCCCAACAACCCCCAACCCCTGGCCATCTTCCTAACACTTGAACACCCCTCTAGTACTGTGAGCCCTGGCCCCAGCTCCAAAGCACCGACCCCCAGCTTCCTCCTGACCCAAACCCCAGACCTGCTCCCAGCCCCCAAGATCCACGGGTCTCATGGTAAAAAGGGCAGCAGGCCACCTCATCTAGGCCTTCTAACAAGTCCTCTCCCCCTCCTGCCCTCCCTGGCTGTGACTCCACAGTGGACCCCGTGGACATGGAGAGCACCCGCATGGACTCCAACTTTGGCCTGGCTGGGCTCCCTGGCTCCCCCAAGAAGCGGGTCCGTATTGAATGCAAGTGTGGGACTGAATCCTGCCGCAAATACCTCTTCTAGCCCTTTGAAGTCTGAGGCCAGACTGACCTTGGGGGCCTGAAGCTGCCCGCCCAACCCACCCATCGCTGCCCTTTTGTCGAGGAATGACTGCCAGGGCCTCCTGCCCGCCTCCACCTGCCCCACGCTCAGGGCCGCGGGGCTGCCGTGAGGACTGACTCCAGGAGTTCCCCCTCCCTGTCCCAGCCCCATCTGTGGGTTGCACTTACAAACCCCTGCCCACCTTCAGAAGTAATGGTTCAGCACCGGGACTTTCTGCAGTTGGGATTCATGGCTTATCAAGGAAGTCCAAGGGGTGAGCCCCAGCCCAGCCCCAGAATAGAAAGATGTTTGTTTTTGTACCTGCTTCTGCCTGGAGCTTGAGGGGTCTGTTGCAGACCCTCTCCCTACTGCCCCAAGGGTGTGGGGAAGCAGCCCCAGGGCGGGCTGGCATCAGAGCCTGGAGTTCCCCGCCCGCGTGGTTCCCTCCCACAGAAGCTCTGCTAGTGAAAGAAAGGAGGGCTCCAGGGCTGGGGGCTGAGCCTGGTTTCTGCTCATGCCCACATGCTGGCTAGTGTTGGCCTAAGAGCCGTACGGTCTCTTCCGGGGCCGCACATCTGGGAAGTAGACATCCACATGCCACTGGAAGGGGAATGGATGCCCGTGGCTCGCTGACCAGTGAGAGGAAGGCAGTCCAGACCTTCCCAGCCCTTAAGAGGGGCTGGGACTGAGCTCTGCCTTTGGGAGTGCAGAGAAGGCACCCGGGCTCTTGGTGCTGGGAGCCCTGAGCTGGG